GAGAGTTAAAAGTTTAAGTGTCAACAACCTCGAATTCTCATCCCTAATATTATTAATCCCTAATCCCTGTCACCTGTGCACCGTAGTCTCTAACCTGCCTGCGTTCTTCCCAGATCATAATGCCTGTTGACCCCTTTAGATCACCCTCCAATTTGACAACAGAATATTTAATGTCCACAATGGGGTAATTTGCGGTACAGCGCATGAAACAATAAACGTTATGTAGACACAAAACACAGAGCAAGACAACAACAAAAGTCCATGATTATAATCTATCAATAATTAGACATAGTTTGCACATCTGTGTGTATTGCACTCCCTCCGTCTATGGGTTAACATAACCTCCTCCCTACCCTATAGCCCTCTCTACACAGAGATGGTGCTATAGAGTCGCTACAAAGTCCCCTCTTTACACCTCCTTTGCATTTTTACACAAAACAAACAGTGATGGCATCATGCCACTACATTGTGTGATTTTTGATAGCATGCCGGCACCCTGGAAGCAAAAGAGGCGTAATGGGCGTGACATGTAACACAGCAGCGTTGGCCTCTAGTGTGACATATAACATATGCGTCGGCAGCACTTTGTAAACAATAGCAATGGCATAATAATCATTTACCGTCCCTGTTATATGGTGGCTGATCTCGTCCTCTGCTCTGAGCATAAGGAGCTCCCGGACCTCATTGTTTTCCCAATTTGTGGACATTTTCAGTTCTTCTTCTTTTTGAGTTAGCTGCTAACTGCTGGTAGCTGCTTTTTAAACTTCCCGGCGTTGGGTCGCACACATAACATGTCAAAACATCATCTCATCTTATGTCCTGTCTTGCTGGCTGTCCCTATTACACAGACGTTGTTTCAGCGCTCTTACTTCCTCTGATGCCGACTCAAAGACGAGAGAACCCTGATCTCCCATTCCGCATTTGTACGTTTTATACAGAACAGCAAGGCGGAATAACAGCGTGAACCCCAACTTAAAGAGGCAGTCCAAAGGAGGCTTCTGTTACATGTTGCCCTACTATAGCTTGTTAGGGCTTGATCACCGACCACAGGTGGTTATGAGGACCCTCTTGAAATTGTCGGAATTATCTAAGTTGGGTTATTGCTGTAAGAATAAATGACTTTTAACTGTTGGTTCTGATCTTAGGATGTCTGCATCTGTGACAAGAATGGAGTGTCTGGAGTTCCACTGTCAGCATGGTCAGACACAGGTGGTACTGATGGCACAGATAGCTCTGTGAAAACAAGACCACTGCACAGCTGTTCATTCGAAGGCTCGTGCAAAAAGAAAAGCAGGTCAATCTGATACAAAAGTTTATCCTGACTCAGCTCTTGCTGCAGAGCTGTGTACCACAGACAAACATAGTGCGGCACCTAATCAAACATATGAAAGTGCACATATTGGACTTGATACCTTATTGAATCCCTTTTAGCATACTGCCAATTTTACTGTTGACTGAGGCAGAGGAGAAAATGATTGAAAACTTTCTACTTGAAACTGTAAAACCCTGCCCTGGAGGAGTATAAACATCTTTTCTTTTTGAGTCTGATGAGAAACTGGACTTCCTGGACTGGTTCGTATTACATCTTCTGGTACCTATAGCAACACGCTCACTCTGACACAGCTACTAGTGTTTTTTGATGCAGCGCTATTATCGGTCAGAGTGTGGTCTAACCCACACCTCTGTGTATGAATGGGGTCTGAGTCCGTTTTGTTACCCCTGTGGTTTTAAATGGTTAACTGGCCACAACTCTCACATCTCTAAGTCGTATATGTGATCAGTGGACCTGAACACGGCATAATTGACAAACTGGAAGAATGTTAGGAGACCCTGCAGGGGCGGCTGCTGAATGCCTGACTTTGCAGCGAACACTCTAGAAATACTCTGCTGGCTGAGAAAGGCCTTTTGTACTGAAGTCTGTTCCTCCCCTGCGTGCCTGTGTGTCTTTTACTGTAATAACGACGGAGAATCTGAGGGAGGTAGGGAAGCGAGAGAATGATGGAGAGGTGTAAGAAGAGTAAACTTGTGACTCATCAGGCGCAGTGGAAAAGGGTTCACTGAGTCAGAGATGAGGCAGGAACATTGGGTGGTGGATGAGCCATGGGACGGATGGGAATAGATGACTGTAGGTAGATAAAAAAAAAAAAAAAAAGTCAGGCAAAACTGGATCAGGCAGTTTATGAACTTCATGGCACCATAATGACTGGATAGTTTTATGACTGTGCACAGCATTTTTGTTATTTAAATACCCAGTAAACATCGTCATTGTCATTATTCTTGCACTGATCACATGTTGGGTGCTGTATTTAAATGACTTTGTTGTTACGTAAAAGGCGGCACAATATGTTGTTTACATTTACAAAACAAATACAAGTGATTGTTGGTAATGCTCACAATGTGAAGTTAGTAGCATACTGTAGCTAGCAATTAGTCAACTGTCTTTCTTTTTTTTTTTACTTTGAGTTTGAGCATTTGAACAGGAGCTGCCAGGATGTTCAGGGTGGCAGTGTCACTCACGTCATTTAGTTTTTATTTAATAAGTCAAGTTATCCTCCGAGCAGGAATCAGATCAGAAATGTGCAGTAACATTTTTTGCTGACACTAGATATCAAACAAAAGCTAGAGACTGTATCGTATTATGTTGCTGTGAGCTGTAAATCTACCACTTCTAAGCAGAAGGCAGAAGATAACGTAACTCAGAGCCAGGCAAAACCTCTCTTCCTCCAGGCAGCTGCCTCCGTCTCACTCAGACTCACCCTGGGTCTGGGTCAGCAGCTGCCTGTACCAGAGAGTGCTCACTCTGTGGCTACATCTGGGGACCGAAACACCCCTAGAAGTACACTGCACACTGACTGAAAAAAAAAAACCCCAATAATAAACAAAAATGACTTGCTTGACTTGAGGAATCTCAGTCGAATGAGAGGTTGCCGACTGAAGATTTGAATTTTCGACTTACACGTTGGCAGCCCAAATATTTGCTTATATTACAAAGTCACAAATTTACGAGAAAAACACCTCCAGGGCTTTCTACAAGAAAGTCAGGTGTCGTCATATTAAGAGTGACAATAACCACGTAGCGAGGAAGTTATGGTGGATGAATGGGTCAGACACAGTACTTAATTAGTACGTAATTAGTTGACGTATTATTTTTAGTTTTTAGGATGTATAAAGCTGCTGAATGCACACTGTGTACATAGACTTCAGCAGGATAGGTTAATAGGCCGGTTTGTGTTAATGTCACATTTTGACGATGCGAGGGAGCCCAGGAAGCCATCTCGGACGCTGGCATAACTTTCATTTTAAAATTATTTTTGAACCATAAAGGGACGTCTTGATTTGACTTTCAAACAACAGTCATTCAACATCTTGTTTGTTGGGATTCATTGTTTGCTTATGGCGTCTGTGGTGTAATGAGGTTGATCCGACTTTGCAAAGTGAAGCGATGTGAACCGTTGACAAAAAGAAAAAAGTCAGGTAAATTTGTGACTTTAATTTCAGAAAAAAATCAAGTCCTTTTCTTTTTGCCTTGATTTGGTAGGAAAGCGTCAACATGAAAGGGAGAGGGAGGGGATGATATGAAGCAAAGGGTCGTAGGTTGGAATCGAATCCACAGCCACTGCGGCAAGGACATAGCCTTAGTACATGAGGCGCTCACTCCACCAAGTAAGTGGTGAACTGAGTGTTCCGGCTTTTTTTTTTTTTTTACGTACAGTGGCCCTAATACGTCGTCATAGATTTGCACGTACTGTAGTGTTGCATCCCTAACATGAAACATTTCATGTGTTGTTTGACCTGCATTAATCAGCCTGGTTTGTCATGTTCCAGATGGTTGAGATTTTTGACACATTATCAAAATTGTACCAACCCTGCAAAGTGCTGGTGAAGGACAGATGTTACAGAATAAGATTTGTAACTGAATGTGGTTCAAAGCACTGCTGCGAAAGTGTATGTACCGCACTCAGAGTATCTTTCCTGGTAAATTAAGGCTTTTAGCTTTAGCTCGGCCTCAGAAGTGCATCTTTTTAGGCAGAGCTGCTTTGATTCATCTCTTTTGTCTGTTCGTTCATCGATTGCCCCCTCCATCCTATGTGTTAACGGCCCTGTGATGCTGACTCTTTTTTCCTCTCAGTCTTGATAATGTTTCTGTATTGATTTCAGTGCCCAACTGATGCGGGTCCTTTGGATCTGCCATTGAAATTTGAAGAGTGAAATTGTCTAATTGATTTCAGAGAGGAGCCTCTGAAGGAGTACTGTTTCCTCATATCGCACTGCTCTAACAAACTTTAAATTGTACATTACACTGAGGGCCATATCCTTACCCTATTTGAAATGTATAATATTATACATAAGAGTCTCTGATCTGCTTAATCTCCAGTGGATTTACAGTGCAAACAGACTTTATCTTGGTTGTTTGCTGAACACTTCACTCAAATGACTTGCTTCTTCTCACGCGTGGTTTAAGTGTTTCTGCTCTGCTTCATGATCTGTTTCTCTGGCAGAAAACAAATCTTGTCTGTTTACATATTTAACAGGTCATATCTGAAGGCGGTTATCATGCACATTTGCCTCAAGTCCAGATTTTGAAATAGTCATGACTTTAAGTGATGGATCCTGACAGCTTTCAGAATTCATAACAGCTGATTTTAAAAAAAATCACAAAAACAGGATGAAGTCTGAAACCACACAGTTGAGTTGCCCACATGACAGACATCACACGCCTGACAGCAGCTACCTCACATGTTTTTTCATTTGACTGTTTTTTACAATTCAAATCTGACCAAACCGTTTGTGAGACCTGTTAACGTTGTGTGCCACAGCTGTTCTTCGGTGACGGCGAAGGTGTCAAGTTCAAAAGCAACCAGGTCACAGCAGGCTTGCATTTGAAAACGAGGGGGTTGAGCAGGGTCATTATGTCAGTGTGCCTCTCATTCACTGCAAACACTCCTTTCATCTCCTGTAAGCTCACTTCTGATGAGTTTACACCTGTGTTCTCTTTGCAGGTGTGGCACGTATAGCACGAGGTAGAGGACTGCTCCCCCCTCCCCCCCTTCCCGTGTTGCCCTGTAAGAGAGACCAGAGTCCGTGTTTTGTTTTTGTTTTGTTTTTTTTCTGCCCGGACACAACCCGCAACATTGTGAATTCATGATCACATGACCGTGGATATGGACGCAGTCCTGTCCGACTTTGTCCGTTCCACTGGAGCTGAACCGGGATTGGCCAGAGATCTGCTAGAGGGTGAGTTACAGAGCATTTCATTATTTGTTTCTATAGTTTTCTTAATGACTGCTGTCCTCCTGGGACTAAACAGTGGGTTCTAAGTCAATAAGTATATTATGTGATGTAACTGACACACTGTCCTGTGCATGTGTGACACATTAAGTACATACAACAAAGCAAACTTGGAGTGATAAATGGAGTAGTGATGGAGAAGTAAAAGTCCTGAGTTCAAAATGTTACTTTAAGGTCCAGTGTGTAGGATTTAGGGGGATATATTGGCAGAAATGGAATAGAAAAAAAAAAATGAATCTTTCCATTAGTATATAATCAGCTGAAAATAAGATTTGTTGTGTCTTTGGTACCTGAGAATGAGCCGTTAATATTTACATAGGGCTGGGGTCCTCATCTACAGAGATCGTCGTCACTGGCTCTAGATAGGGACATTCGCATTTTCACGTTGGCCACCATAGTTAGCAGCCCCTGCACAATGAGAGCGTCAGAAAACTTGGATTATTTTTTTTTTAAACATGAAACTGCCTTGTTCAGTGTTTTTACCAGTTTAAATTAGGGGGTTCATGTGTTTTGGAAAGGAAGAGACCTCTGTAAATAATTTAGCTCCTGGTGAAAAACTCATGAGTGTCTGAACTTTATGTTGTCAGAGAAAAGAAGGTGAGCACACATTTGCAGGTGCTGGGCTAGCGGCCCGTCTCCGACATGCCAAATATCATCAGAGAAACACATTTGAAATGTGAAACTGCTTTATTCAGTGTTTTTACCGGGTTAAATCACTGGGTTTGTTTTGGAGAGGAGGAGACCTCTGCAAACAAACAAACTCTGAACAGGGTAGGAGAAACACTGTTGTTTTTTTTTTTTTTTTACATAAAACTGCTTTATTCAGTGTTTTTGCCGGTTTTAATCACCTGGTCCATTTGTTTCTGAGAGGAATAGACCTCTGGGGATAATGAACACTGGTTGCAATCTGCAATCCTCACCGCTAGACGCCATTAAATTCCTTCTAAATTTTACACACTGGTCCTTTTAAGTAAAAGTGCAGAAATATTATCAGCACAATGTACTCAAAGCATCAAAATGAAAGTACATATTCTGTAGAATGGCTCCTTTCACAGTGTTACATCATCTTCATTTTAGTATAGAATATTATTCTGTTTTGATCAATAGCATGAATATGTGAGAACATTAGAGATGCACTGATCCAGCTTTTTCAGTTTCGATACCGAGTATCAGCCGATACCGATCCGAAACCACAATTGACCTGAAAAGCTATATACCTAATATATTCGGCTGAATATTGCAAAAAAACACACATTCAGTATTTGCGAGTTTTGTGCGGGCAAAATAAATCATTCAGCACGCTGTGTGAGTACAGATTTCAACCAGCAGCAGAACGAAAAGGTGAATCCCGCTGGTTGTGGGTTGAACGGGGGTCACAGACACGGACAGGAATATGTATTCCTGTCAAATACGGCAGCGAATGATAACGGCTTACCGGCAACGGAGAAGTCCGGCTCCAGGTGAATAACTTGTTGTCATGACTGCCCAAAAGTACCTGAACAGCCGAGCCATGGCAGCACACAATATGTGGAGTATCAAAGGAGAAATGAGCCGTTCACATTTCTCTCTTTTAGTCCTTCAGTGGCAGGTAACGGCCTACAAACCTCACCGCACTTTAGGGACTGTTCTTTACTTATGAAGGGACTGTCAGGGGAGGAGGGTGGCTGGTTGATTTTTATTTCATTTATTTTGATCCCCCCTATGTTAATCACTTATTGATGCTGTTTTTGAAGTATGAATAAGTCAATAAGTAATTTATTCCATTGAAATATCATTGATGTATTATAGAAAAGTGATTTATCTTTTTATAAATGAAAAGGCACATCTGCCTCATTTTTGCTGTGGTATCGTGATACTACTCAGAACCGTGATACTTTCACTGGTATCGTACCATGGATCCCAATTTTGGTACCGTGACAACACTAATCTGGAGGGGGTTCATCTGCAAAAACTAATGAAAAACTAAAAAACGGCATTCGGTACTCGGTATTCGGCCAAGGGTTTAATATTATTCGGCTTCGGCCACAAATTTTCATTTCGGTGCATCCCTAAAACAAATATGTTCTTATGTAAAAGTAATGGTCAAATAAATTTAGTAAAGTACTAAAGAGGCATAAAATGGAAATTCTCAAGTAAAGTACAAGTACTCATATTGTACTTCAGTACAGTACCTGAGTAAATTTACTTAGTTACATTTCATCATACTGAATCTAGTCCTCGCTGCCTCCTTCCCTTAAGAGACAAAGAGGGGAGGGAGGTGGTTGGGGGTGAACCTGACAGCTGGTAGTGTTATGCGCAGCAGTTAAATTGACCGCTGTCTCAGTCAGTGCTTCTGGCTTGTTACTGTTAATTAGACATTCATACACTAACGGAAGGAAGGTATATCTAGAGTCAACAGGGCTCCTGTTGCCTAGCAGCAACACAAGTTGCAGATAAGAATATGGGTTAAAAATGTAATGTAATGCAGTGAGCAGCAGCAGCAAGCCAGCGAGCCGAGACGTGCCCCAAATTCTGATATTTACCCAAGTGAAGGAATGTGCCAGTGGCCTTTGCATAAGATAAGGCAGTTTATGGTTGCATTGACTCGTGGTAAATATTTAAATTCACTAAGGATGTGTCATTTGCTGGATGTACAAAGTAGATTCAGGTTGTCACGCTGGACCTGGTGGCTTAGACAGATGTTGTTCCTCACCCTGTCTGTGTCTGTAGGCAAGAACTGGGATTTCACTGCTGCCCTGAGTGACTTTGAGCAGCTACGACAGGTGCATGCTGGGAACCTGACTTATTCTTTCGCAGAGGACAGGACGTATCTGCCACCCGAAAAGGAGATGGCCAGGGTAGGGCGGCCTGTGCTCCACCGCCAAGATGAGGTGGTGCAAGGTGAGGCCATCAGCAAGTGACATGTTTGGCAGCTAGTACACTAGTGCTGGGCTCAGAAGATGTTAAATGAGGACACATACTGATGTAAAGCACCAAACAGCAGACCTGAACAGTTATCAGTAATATGTAGCTTGTTAAAATATACTTAGACTGACACCACCTTTCCTCCACATCTTCTGCCACTGTCTCTTAGCAGCTACAGAAAAGCGTCTGTCGAGGGGAATTTCCCACGCCAGCTCAACCATCGTGTCCCTGGCGCGCTCTCACGTCTCAAGCACTGGAGGTAGCAGTAATGAGCCACTTCTGGACACGCCCCTGTGCACTTTCCAACTACCAGACCTCACCGTGTACCGGGAGGACTTCCGTGGCTTCATCGAGAGGGACCTTATCGAGCAGTCCATGATGGTGGCCTTGGAGCATGCTGGTAAGAACTCAACACCAGATTCTAGGTTTAACTGCATCATATTGTTTAACACATCCATCCCTATGTACAGCCAAACAAAAATTAAGTAAGATTTCAATATTTCCATTAGCCTTGCTTCCTTGGAAGATATTTTGACATGTCACAGTAGGAAAAGCAAAGGTGTTAACAACAAAATGAATGATGGCTGAATTCAACTTAGCTTGTTCGGTTTCAGGGTCGTGCCATTGTACATTTTACGCTGCCTTTTCAAGACGGGAATGTTGCATCGTTATACCGCCTCACTGCTCTGTAGAATAAGTACGAGCAGAGAATGGGGAGTCGTGCTGCTTTTAATCCAGCAGTGGAGGTAGTAACAGTGATAAGCTGTCGTCTGTTTTAAAGGGACAGTCAGCAGGATGAGGCGAATGTGACATTTTGATGTCCTGCTATGTGTGCGACCCATCACGGGGAAATTTAAAAAGCAGCTGGAGGTAGTTAGCAGCTATCTCAAAAAGAAAAACAGCAACCAAAATGTCTGAAAATTGGGAAAACAATGAGGTCCGGGAGCTCCTTACCATCTGAGCAGAGGACGAGATCAACCGGCATGTAATAGGGACAATAAATGATTGTTATCAGCAGGTTACGACTACTTCCTGGTTCGAACACGGGGTTGGGGAGCCCTTCTGTTTCCATGTTCTCTCTGTGTCAACGTGGGTTTTCTCCAGGTGCTCCAGCTTCCTCCCACAGTCCAAAGACATGCAGGTTAATTGGTGACTCTAAATTGTCCGTAGGTGTGAATGTGAGTGTGAATGGTTGTCTGTCTCTATGTGTCAGCCCTGTGATAGTCTTGAGACCTGTCCAGGGTGTACCCTGCCTTTCGCCCAATGTCAGCTGGGATAGGCTCCACACATTAACGGGGGAAACACTCTCTGACAGTGGAACACACCGGCATGCTATCTAAAATCATACAATGGACGGTATTAGGCTGGCATAATGGAGGAACTTTGTTGCGACAGTTTTGCGGGATCTCCGTGTGAATAGGTCTACTGCTGTGAATAACAGGGATACTTTAATACTGCAGAACAGAGCCATTTTTGTTGTTATTAGCTGCACCTGTGCTTTTCCTAAATGTCTACTGTGATGAGGCCTTTTGTCCTAAACCCAGAGTAAAATCTTATCTACCAACTTTTATAAGTGTGGACGTTTTTTGGACAGACATATTGTGATTAAATTGTTTTAAAAGAAGATCATTTTTAAGGGAAAATGTTTCATTTGAAAAGCACACGTCTGCTGTCATAAAATGGAAACTATTCTATATTCTATACAGAGTCATGTGGCATCTTATTTTCCAGTATGGAAATCTAGCTTTGACACAATGTGATTATCTTCCAAACATCCTCATTTTCTCCATCTGTGAGGTGCTACATGGCAGTTGTTTTGGATCAGTGCTGTGTCATATTTGTAACACAAACAGGTGAGTTAGGTTTTTCCTATTTGCCTGCAGGGCGACTGAACTGGTGGACTAAAGTGGTTTCAAACTGTCAGAATCTGCTGCCGCTGGCAACAAGCGGAGACGGAAATTGCCTGTTACACGCCGCCTCACTCGGTGAGTATCGCAGACCTTTCAAACGAGACCCCAGCACCGTGCAGGTTCACACTTCATTAGCATTCATTGAGAGAGCTTCATTGTTGGTTTAAGCACTAATTGCATTTTACAGTGCTGCAGTGCACATTCACTTAGCCTTTGTGGCCCACTTAGGAGCCCTAGCACATAAAATTAATAATGTCCTAACTAATGTGCAGCCATCGTTCAAGCCCTTGTTGTGCTCCTGGGTAGCTGATGTGAAAGTAATAGTCGTGCTTATCCTGTGCTTTTTAAAAGATATTTACAGGTTTAAGGTAGAACATAGCTACAAATTTAGGTTTTTATTTATTCATTTACAGTTAATTTATGAGAGAGAATTTGTGTCTTTTAAACATTTCAACACTAAAGAAATACAAAAAAAGACTCTGAAACAGCAGCTGCATTATTTTCACATGCAATTATTCACAGGTTTTGTTTTCTGATGCAGGTATGTGGGGTTTTCATGACCGGGACCTGATGCTACGGAAGTCCCTGTATGCACTGATGGATCACGGGTTGGAGAGGGAGGCACTGAAGCGCAGGTGGAGGTGGCAGCAGACCCAGCAGAACAAAGAGGTCTGTTATAGAGGCTGCACATTTCTCCAGGCAGTTTTTGCAACTCTGTGATGACTGTATTAGGGGAGGGTTAGTCTAAAGCATGAAGACACTTGTGAACTTGAGAGTGTTGCCTTTTTGATTCATTTGACCAAATAGGAAAAACAAACATGGACAATGAACAAGTAAAGGCCTTTACATGCTTCCCATACCAGTGTGCCCGCCTGCAGCTACTCACACGTCTGCAATAGAACATTTGAAATGTCAAATGCACACAGCGCGCTTTTGTGTATTAGTTTACTGTGTCCCATGCAATCCCAGCTCTTTCAAAACACACAAGGTTTTTTCTGCGTAGGCAATTACGAGGCGGCTGTCCCCGTTAAATTTCATGGCGCCTCCAGCTCTCAACAAAACTCTTGACAGTTGTCTTCATTGTAAACACTGTTCACTAACAAACAAGGTGGAGTTCTGTGATTTGTAACTGCAGTCGCTGCATTTAGCTGATGTGGTGATGCTTTATTGGATTCAGCACAGTGCATTGGGTAAGGTGTTACCAAAAGTGCCATAGAGGAAGAGTTTTGCAAATCTTGAGTTACCTTCTGGCTTCGACCCTGTTTTTGCTTCAGCAAAGCAGGGGCAACAATTATTCTGCTGGTAACGTCATTGCAACCACAGCAAAGAAAATCATGAAGGAAAACAAAACTCCTTTTCCCTGCCGTTAAATATTTAAAAGAATACTACGCAGAAGTGTTGGTTACTGTTTGTAACCTCTCTATATTTGCATTTTTTCAATGCTGTGTCACATGGATGCGTGTTGCTCATGGTTTGGCAGCTGGTCACTACCTTTTTATAAAGCCCCAACCTCACCTGAGCACTGTGGAGCCACACGACCATGAACAACCCAAACACAGAAAATAAGACAAATATAAGAAAATGCAGGCAGTGGGCAATGGCTCTGCAGAAATAATACACCGCCATACACTTCTAGTGGGCCATAAGTGATAGCTGAGAGTGATTATGTCTGTATGAGTCTATACATTGAGTTTTTTTTAGAAAATTCCTACATAGTATATCTTTCAATATAATTTCTTTGTTGCCAGCTGGCGTATATTAATGCAGCTGCAAATGGCAGTCTGCGTGAAAACATTTCCCCTCAGGGGGGGATTAATAAAGTAAGAATATAAAAAATTAAAGGATTAAATAAATTAAAATAATTAAAATAAAGTATTTAAAAAAACTACAATATTTTCACGGGGGAAATGTCAGGAAAAGAAAAACTGATTTTTAATAATGAACTTTTTTTCCCCACTTTATTGAAAATAAGTGTTCCATAATATGACATTAGTTAGAATAAAATCACTTTATCAGTATTTGTGATCATGTTGTTAGTCTCAAATGAAGCTCAACCAGGTCATGTGATCTGCTACTTCAGTGCACTTTAATATCAAATAATACTGTGACCACAGATGAACATTTAACATCCAAAAATTCTTCATATAGATACTACCAATAACTGTTCATGTATCCATTTCACAATTTGGCCACAATTTATTAATAATTGTCATTTTTTTCTAATCATAATTATTAGAACTCCTAAAAATATGTTGCTTGTAAAAACCGTTTGTCTGAGCTAGTTGAAGGCACATTACACATGTATGTGTGTGCACATGAGCAGGATGGCGCCACCTCTGCCTTATTGTAAGCCAGGAAAACCCTGAACACATCAACACACCAAAGGCAGACAGGACAACATTGTGTTGCTGTGAACTTTGTTCAGTTCTGAGAGATTTCCAGTCAATGTGTGCAGGTCATACTGGCTAATGTGGTGCACCAGTCCTTTGAATTCTGTCTGTTCATCGCTATGGGAATTCTGTCGCAGTATACTAAATATTTGTTGCTGTAAAAGTGTTAATCATAGACATGTCATATCATTAAAGGTAACTCTTTAGTTATTACCCACGGTTGTATCAGTTATTAGAGACCAAAGGGTGCATTAACTGAAACACTGTTAACACTGTAATGATACAACAAGCATGTGATACGTCTCACTCCTTATTTAGACAAAATCAAACCAGCTGAAATAACTTTGCTGAGCTCTGTGAAGCTCGGAACCCACTCCCTGTTCCATGCGGCTCTAAAAGAGCTGCTCCCCTCTGTTGGCCAAGTAAGAGCTTGAACCTACAGCTGCAGCTTGTGGCTGTATTTTTCTGTTTGCATTCACACCGCCAATAAGAATGCTGAAGTGACATAAGCCAGTTGGCAGTTGGTATAACAACGTCACTTTTGCTTTGATGAGTCAAAATCGTGTTGTATTCCCACTGTCACATATATGCTCAGTCAGTCCCTTTGTGTTTTCTTCTATTTCATTTCAAGCTGTTGTGTTGTCTGTTGTTTACAAGGCTAACAACTTTTTAAAAGTGGTGGTTGCCTGAGCTGCATTGGCTGTGTTCGACCCATCAACACATACTTACACCACTCAAGGTTCCTCTTGTGCTTGGAGAGTACCTGCTCTGAAATAGGAGCTAAAAAACAAAGTCCCTCAAAACAGCGTTCTAAGAACTACAATCATCCCTAGTTCTTGCGATGCGGACACAATCTGAAAGGGAGGTTCTTAGAACTATGAAAAAAAGTTCCTCTGAGCCGAAAACGCCTACTGACTCTCTTCCCCTCGAAAGCAAGCATAACAGCACACTGAGCATGTTTTTCAAAGTGGCTGCAGACAGCGTGCAGACACCCACAGATGAGATGCCACACGAATGACTGCCTAATGTTCAGCCATTCTTCAACAGCTTCCACTGAGGTGTCCTTTAGCAGATCACTTAAACCAAAGATGCTCTCACAGTGGGCTGCGTCGAGGACTGTGGCTGCACTGGGATGCTTTCTTGTCTTATTGTGCTGCAGGTGAAAAACATTTCAATAAGTTTCCTTCTGCCCATATGTGGAGGTTAAATCATGATACCGATGAGTGTTCTGTTGCTACTGTGTGAACGACACAGGGGTTAATAAAGGCTCTTAAATGTCTTTCCTCAATTGTCAGTATGTACCCTTGTGGTAAGATGCCATAACGTCAGCGCATGCTTTTGTGACATTTGACACTCCCTCTCTAAATGGCAAATGTGTGTGTGCATGTCCTTCCTTTCTCCTCAGTCTGGTCTGGTGTACACGGAAGAGGAGTGGCAGAAAGAGTGGAATGAACTGTTGAAGCTGGCCTCCAGTGAGCCGCGAATACACTACAGCACCAACGGCACCAACGGGTAAGGTCTGGCTCAGACAATGCTGGGACTGTTACCCCAACGCACACTTAGTCACACTCATGTTTTTATTCATGAACAAACAACTGCGCTCACAGTCAGAACTGAGTGGCTGGCCCTCATTTTAGTCAATCTACTATTTACTGTACCAAGCATAAGTTCAGTGGGTTAGGTATACTGAAGCTCCACAATACAAACGCTTTGTTTAAATGTGGTTTCACCTTTATGTGTTTATGAATGTGGCCCCCCAAAAAGCCTACAGTGTGCTTTTTTTTTTCTTTGTTATTATTACTCATAAGGAATCTGTTACAAAGCAAGCGATATTTGATTATCTCTGGTCTTGTCCTCTTTCACTAAAAGCAGTGTTGTTGTCTTCAGGGCGGAGTCCTCAGATGAACCAGTGTACGAGAGTTTAGAGGAGTTTCACGTCTTTGTCTTGGCCCACGTCCTCAGGAGGCCCATCGTGGTGGTGGCCGACACCATGCTGAGGGACTCTGGAGGAGAGGGTAAATAGCCCGGAGCCTCGCATTGCTAATGCATCATGTTCCGCATTTCATCATATTTTTCACAGTTTCATCATGTTAGTCATCCTCTATGTACCTCGGATAAATTAGGTCTGTCACTTACAGAATTTGCACTGCACTTAGCAGAAATCCGCCAGGAAGGATTTGAAGGAAAACATTTTTTTACTAAGATTTCAGTGACTGATGACTTGCCCAAGTTGTCCCGAAGAAGTAAACACCACCCGTCTGGTATCTTAAGCAGAGTAAAACAAACAATGTGAATGGCTGCCAAATTCTGTGTGACCCATTTCTGTCACACAAAACATAGTGCATAACTTGTCTTTACAACAAACAACTTACAGCACTCCTGTGAAGCAGCAGCCGTATTAGTTTGGTAATTGCAGCAGCTGTTAATTTACTTTGCACTGTTTTGACACCTCAGTGCTGATTTACCAAAATCAGAGGTGACAGCAGTTTTGTTGTGGAATTAATGCAACTGTCATAATTGGCTGGAAATTGGAAGTAGATATAAATTAACCAACAGCAAGTTAAAGCAGACCTTTTATGCTTTTCTGTATTTTGTGTTTTTTATTTAATGTTACAGTGTTGAATGTTCATATTAAACGTGGCCAAACTTTCAAATAATGAAGGAAATGTATGTAGAAGTAATCTACATAAAGACTCAAACAGTTTTTGGTTTTTTTTTTAACTCTGGGGACAGTATGACATCATAACATGATGGTTTTCTTTTATATGGTCATCCACCCCAGGCACGCTTCTGCAAGTATTTACATCATGGAGTGCTGCAGGAATGAGTCCTAAAACCTGGAAATAAGTTAGCATTTTGCACTCCTGGTTCCCTCCCAAAGTCAGTGGGTTTTTGTCTGTGGTTAACATAAGCTGAAAGACTTTCACGTTTTGTTCTACAGCATAAAAAACATCAGTAAATACCCCACTTGTGAACTTTGAAGCTTTTATGTGTCTTTAAAAAGGAGGTTGCTCACAAGTGGCTAAATGAGACTACAGAAAATCATCACGTCAACCACAGTTTTACAGACGGTGAGGTGAAGTCATGCAACAGTAGTGTAGTTTGTTTATAGCCTAACGCTTTTTACTTCTGGCTGTTGCATTTAGGCTTAAAAAAACACAACTGGTGTTTTTGTTAAGGTTATCTTGCTGAACAAAATGTGTAAGTACCATCAAGGTTTGTTTGCTACAGAGCTTATTTTCTGCTTTAGTTTCTTGAAGACATTTCCCCTCTCATCCAAGTGGCTTCTTCAGTTCTAACTGACTGGTGTTGAGTCGCAGGCTTTAAACTCTGTGTGGGTGTGAACCCAAAAGAGTGGTTAAGGTCACATATGAGTCCTTGACCCACCCGGCCATCTTAGGTGTCCTTAGGGTTAGATGAGTCCGGGTGGGAATAGGTGTTAAGTCGTCTGGGAAGAGATCCCAAGACTGCATTTTAAGTCGGAGATAAATGGTGTCGTAGGCCACCTCCTCTGTTAAACGATAGTCATTCCAGTTTGACATAGATGGCTTCTTTCATGCCTCTTTCAAACCATCTTTCTTTTCTGGCCAAGACGTGAACATTGCTGTCCTCGAAGGAGTGGATTTTGAAGCTTTTAAGTGTCTACAAAAAGAGGTTCCAAACAAGGAGCTAAATGAGACTTCAGAATGTCATCACACTAAACATGGATTACAGCCTCGTTGTGGTGGTCATGTTAGGTCATCCAACTGTGATGTTTGTTTATACTCACCAAACATTAGCTTTTTCACTTATGGTGATTGCATTTATACTTAAAAAATCATAAAAATAGTTTTTATTTGTGAAGATTATCTCGCTGAACAAAACATAGAAGTATCAAAAACGTCCAATCCCAAATCCAGTGCAAATATCCCATTGGCTGTTTGTTGAGGGAACCAGGGTGATGTTAACTTCCGGGCTAGCCTTCAAATAAACATCATCCCTGCAGCACACATGATGGTGCAGAGATGCAAAGATGTAGAAGACCTGGAAACGCTGACCAATCAAAGTAGACTGTGTCTTTTCAATAGGAGGGCTTAAAGAGACAGGCTCTAAAAAGGAGCATCTCAGACAGAGGGTGAATACAGGTGTTACAACACAGACAGTATGAGAAAAATAAAGTATGATAACATGTTCTAATAGAAACCTTAAAGGCAAGTACGAACCCTGAAAATAAGCGTAATAGGTCCCCTTTAAACACCGGTTTGATTTATCGATAGAGGTGAAAGCTCTTTTTTATTTTCGTCTCAGATCCCCTCGGTGCTATAGCGCCGGGAAACAGTCCTGAGGTTGTCCTTTTCAGATGTTTAATGTCCTTGTTACTCTTCCCTAGCCTTTGCTCCCATCCCGTTTGGAGGCATCTACCTACCACTGGAAGTGCCAGCTGCCAAGTGCCATCGCTCGCCCCTGGTCCTGGCATACGATCAGGCACACTTTTCTGCCCTGGTCTCCATGGAGCAGAGAGACAGCTCCAAAGAGCAAGGTAAAGCTCTGCATCATTCATCTATAATGTCATCTGAATATTGATTTTTTTTTTTTTTTTTTTAGCAACCTCCTTGTAAGCAGTTGACATTTTAAATAATCAATCACGGGTGTAACACCGTTACATTAATTCCTCCTGAGAAGAGTTGCTGAGAATAAAAGCCCTCAAGTAATTGACATTTATTAATGTGTGCAGGGTTTAGAACCAGAGTTTCCTAACAGCACTAGGACCCACTTTACAGCTGGGTGCCTTTGCTTGATGGGTCAGTCTTTTTTTAAAACTGACTTAAGTGGTTTATTTAAGAGTGGGTGACTAATGATCACTGGGCTTTTGAGGATATCCAGTGATCTTTCTAGCTCAACACCAAGCCAGCAAATGATCCCCTTCCTGTGTTGAAGCTGAATGCTAATAAAGTCACAGATTTGTAGTTAAAAATGACTTTGTTGTCATGTAATATGCTCCAAATTAGATGAATACTTCACCCACAAAATGACCATTTGTATATCAGATACTCGCCCCATGCTGCCTTGTATTTGTGAGGAAAACTTTTTCTCGCATGCCACCACGGTGAACGAAGAATCCAAAAAAGGTGAACATTCTCCATGTATTGAAGGGAACAAGAACATCATTAACCAGCAGCAAAATGTTGTCAAAACACTCCTGCAGTATAATCAGAGTATCATTTATCTGCACGTACGCTCAGTACTTTCCAAACACGTTCATTTTTGGTAGAACAGTACAATTTGAAACAGGTCAGAACAAACAGTCTAATGCACGGCCAAGTAGCGTGTCTGAGCAAGCACATGTGTTTGAACTCTGCTCAAACACAAGGCAAATATGTTTTATATTGTAACTGTTGTTAAAGGTGATTGCTAATTACTTCATTTCATAATGTTCACCTTTTTTTTTTTTGGATTCTCTGTTGACCATGTGAGAAAAACTTTTCACAAATGCGAGGTAACACAGGGTGATTGATTATGAAAGTAACGCGCATTTTCAGGTGAATTGTTCTTGTAAATGCTGTGTCTTTTCACCTTTACAAGAGTGGAATTTTGAAGAAGCTCTGAATACATGTGCTCACACTGAAGTTTCTGCACAAATTATAAGTTTATCCTTCAAATTCAAGACATTGGCCAGACGTCGAATTGTTTCCCGGTCTAAAAATACCAGAACGGACCATCCAAAAACAATATTGGTCAGACGGCACGGACTAGATGTGAAAATAGAAAGTGAACGAATTGATTGCACTCAGAAGTATTTCTGTCTGCAGACAATGCAGAGTGCTGGATTGAAATGTTTTGTCATTTGTCTAAGAATACTTCCCCCCCCCCGTCTCTACCAGCAGTTGTGATCCCTCTCACCGACTCGGAGCACAAAATGCTGCCTCTGCACTTTGCTGTGGATCCTGGGAAAGATTGGGAGTGGGGCAAGGATGACACAGACAACGTGATGCTGGCGAGGTATAGTCTCCTTCTAAAATCAGCTCTCACATATTTACACCCTGTCATGTTTCTCAGCTCGAATGTATTCACGAGGTGCCTTTTACAAATGGATTCGTCAGAGGTGCTTTTAAAGGTCACAGATGATACAGATAAAAGCGAGAGTGGCACATGTTGACTTGCATGTGTATTCCCTTATGTACTCCCTACAGCTGTCCTTGTAGCACCGAGTGTCAGTGTGTAGGGATTGACCCCTGACTCCAGATTAGCGACACCCAGTGCCACTGACAATAAGATTAGCTCTAAATACCTTCTATGAATGGACCAGGGAAGGAGCACCAAAATAGCAGCTTGGTAAAAATAACCTTCCACCTCATGTATGTCAGTTGATGACACTGTGGTTGTGTTATTCAAATGAAATGGTTTACAGAGATAATATTACACAAGTGACTGTTGATATTGTTTGGTAAGGTCATTGAGTTAAAAGGCCAATGCAGAACAAGAATGCACAACAGCAAGATGCTTTTAGTGTCATTACTGTACAATTCTAAGCCAAATTACTGTGTGTTGTGAAGCAGCAGCAGGTAAACACCACCCCTCTCACCAGATGACGACAGCTGTATGTATGCATTGATTTATTTAATCTTAATTCATTGTGCAGTTGCACGCAGCTCGTTCGTTCAACCCCTCCTTGCCCATTCTTAATCTCTGTTTATCAGACCACAAATGAGACAACAGTTAGCTGCGAGCCACCCCACAGTCCCTTCGTCTCGCTTACCCATAAGGAAAGCAGGCACTAGCTCGGGAGACGGACTTTTGGTCAGCAGGTGTAGCAGTTCAAATTTGGGCCAGCGCAAACCCCCTCAGAGCTGAGTGTCACAGCAGGCTGATGGCCAGCAGCAGCACAGGGTCTAACGTGTGTAACGGCAGCAACAGAAAGTTTACTGATCTGACAGGAAGTTGAGGCTGGCTGGGTTTGCCTCCAGAGCTGCTGCCCACTCTCCACCCTGCGAGGTGGTCTGGCTCTTGCTAACGTTAGCTACATAAACGTGAACTTGAAGCCTCCGCTATGAGCCTTTAGCTCCGGTTGGCATAAGGCTAAACTACTAGCAACCTTTTCTCTCCATCTCTGAAATGCTTCGCAGATATTGACACACGTTTTGTTTGGTTTATTGTCAGACTCTTATCTTGATTAGTCTGTCTTTCTTTTTCGGGGTTCCTCTGCAGGACTCTCCGCCATTGAATTAGGTTTTCACCTAAGCGACGTGCACACCTATCTGCATTTGTAGAACAGCTAATAGGAACATCCTCTCTCTGAAATGACCTGTGATTGGTCTCCTTTCAAGGCCTAGATTTTCTAAAGCCTGAAAACAGAGCCAAGAGGAGGTGCAGAAGTCCAGTGTTATTTCAGAACACTTGAATTACAATATGCTCAAATTTATTTTACCCATTAACACCAAAAATAAACTGCTTACCTCAGCTTTAAAGAAGAGGACCAACGTTATTAAGTATATCAAGGTTGCGACCTCTACCATTAACATCTGTGTGTCTAAGCTCACAGTATGTTTACTTTAATTTGTATATTTCTGTCACTGGCTACCTCTGCATATTCCTCTGGATCTATTTTCTGTGGCTGAATATTTACCTATTGTTCCATGGTTTAGAATCCAACGTTTGATGGTTGTCCAATACTGTCTTACAGCACCACTATTAATAACATCATCAACTTCCTGAACAACAACAACATAAATTATATTTCCATGAGTGCGACACAGGTGCTCTGGCAGAAAGTGTCGGTCTCCTCTCACTTAGCTTTGTTTCTCCCTCTTCCTCTTCCTCCCAGTGTTGCTCTCTCTTTGGAGGCGAAGCTCCAGATGTTACACAGCTACATGACGGTCACCTGGCTGCCCCTGCCCTGTGAGGTAAAGATAAAAGTCCATGCATCCATCCAGAGTCTTGTTTGCTCTTCTGCGGTAGGGACAACAGGATTTGTCATAAACTTTATTGGACATCCTAGTTGTACAGAAGCTGCATTTGCAATGATAGACTCAATAAACTAATAAATAAATTAGTGATAAAATAAACAGTGAATTTTTTGTTTAACTAACCATGAAAGCTGGTTCAGAATTCCTGAGTCTCATTCAGTATTTTACCAGCCAAAAACAGAAACCCCAGCTTGTAATGCAATGTAAATAGACAAATCCCAAAGTGGTTGGTAGCCACTTACAGTTTGTGTTAATCTCCTACACTCATTATAAACAAGGGCAATATTTTTTTCCTTTTCCATCAGACCAGCTTTCCCCTGACTGCTGTACAACGTGTATGTGAAAACATACTACAGTGGGCCTTTCAGGTCATAAAGTCACGCCATGCAAACACTGACAAAGCTCCTCTTGTGCACCACATGCTAACAGCAGGGAGCTTGGAAGGACAAGTTTCATGGCAGTTTCATGGTTGTGCTGCAGGGTCTGGTGGCCAGACAGGAAACCCTGTATTAGAATAGAATTTTGGGGGGTTGTTCTGTTTAGAAATGCTAGCAGAGGATAGCTGTGTGATGGTCAGTATTACTGAAATATGGGGCATTCTCTAAGTACTTCTCGTTTGAGATAGCACGTCATCATGTAGGTCATGTCCAAATACAGCACTGTTTATTTTAGAGCTTCCTTATTTTGTTTGTAGAGAAGATAAGACATTTGGAAACGGAGTCAGTTTGTTTCTGCAAAAAAAAAAAAAAAACAGCTCTATGATTCACTCATTTCACATCCTTTTTCCTCCCATACCTGAGGCACATGTGCGTTTGTGCTAGAGTTTAGCCAGGACTCCCTTTTTTCCCATTTCTGATGAACATTGTCTTATTTGTTTTCTTTTCCATTATTATATGGTCAGTAGATTTGGGCCTGATGTGCATTTTCCTACAGTATTTTTCCATTGTCTTATGTTTGTGCTTTGTTTGCTCACAGCAAGCCCCTCTGGCCCAGCCCGAGTCGCCCACAGCATCGGCAGGAGAGGATGCCCGAACGCCTCCTGACTCAGGAGAGTCAGACAAGGAGTCAGTCAGCAGCAGCTCCAATGGCAACGGAGACACAACCACAGGATCAACGGTCAATGGAGGAGGGTCCTTGGCCAAGAACAGCTCCTCTTCTTCATCTAGTTCCTCCAGCAGTGGATCGGCAGGGGCAGGGACGGGAACGGCGGGGAAGGACAAAACCAAGAAGGAGAAAGACAAGGATAAAGACAAGAAGAGGGCAGACTCTGTGGCCAATAAGCTTGGAAGTTTTGGCAAGAGTCTGGGCAGCAAGCTGAAGAAGAACGTGGGCGGACTGATGACAGGAAAGAACGCTGGAGCCGGAGGTGCCAAGCAGGAGGGCGTGGAGAAGAAGAAGGGCTCGTTTAGGGGGAGGAAGGGCAGCAAGGATAGCTCGCCTTCAGCCCACGCCTCAGAGGATTCTGGGAAAGGCTCCCCCTCCTCAGGTAGCGAGCGTCTCAACGGAACAGGGAGCAGTATGAGCAGCAGTGGTGGGAGCAGCACTGAGAGCGAGAACTACAAGTACAGTGCTGATGTGAAGGTCAGCCTGGGCATCCTGCGAGCCGCCATGCAGGGTGAGAGGAAATTCATCTTTTCCAGTCTTCTCACGACCAGCAACAGACAGCCGTTCCAGGAGGAGATGATCCAGCGCTACCTCGCCGACGCAGAGGAGCGCTTTCGGGCTGAGCAAGAACAACAGCGCCGTGAAGCGGAGAGGAAGGGCGTCACCAATGGCATCCAGCCACCAAAGAAGGAGACAGTTGGAGGTTCAGAGCTGACCTACCGGCCTTATGAGGCCAAAGAGGAGCTGTCGGAGAACTCGTCTCCTTCTTTCAACCAAGTCAAGTCCACTCCCTTGAGCCCCTCTATGTACTCTGGTGTTGTGCCCATCCCCCGGCCCTCCTTCATAGACCAGCCTCCTGCAGCAGCACCCCTCACCCAGCACCTTCATATGCACGGCTACATGGATACTCGGCGCCAGCTAGCTGGGGGCTCCCCAGCCACCTCCTACCCCGGCCTCCCCTCTTACGCCACCCTTCCACGACACTGCCCTACAACGCAGGGTCCCTCCCATCCCCAGTACAATAACTCACAAGGCCCCGCCTCCCTGAGTCCCTCTCGACTCGCACCCTCGTATCCCCCTGAGTTCGACCCACCGGACTACCCCGGGTCTGAACCCGCTACTGGAAGTTACACCAACGGCTTCCGGGACATGCGCTCCAACTTAGACTCTCGGAGTGGCCAACCCCCAGTCAGACACTACTCACTGGGCAGCGCCGGTGGTTTGGCCAGCCTGCAGTCCAGCCGCTGTCGGACACCCAGCTGCACCTACTACGGACACCCCGAGACGGGCAACTACTGCTCCTACTGCTACCGGGAAGAGCTGAAGAAGAGAGAGCCAGAACCGGCCATCCACAGGTTCTGAACGGACCTTTGCTATGGCTTGAATTTGATGAGTGGCCTTTTTCAGTTAAAAATAAAAATAACAGCTGGGGCAGATCAGCCTCTGAATGGACGAGAGAAAGGCACAACCAGCTCCCTCCCTTTTTTAGTTGTGTCACTTCCTGTTGGAATAGACGACCTCAGAAAGTGGCAGAGAGTCGACACGACCACAGAATAAACAGGGTGGTTTCTGGCTGCTGGGGTCACACGTTAGACCATAGAATAAACTAACTGCACTTCTGTTACATTTTGCTGTGGCTCTTATGCAGGCGTTGTGTATGAGTGTGTGTGCGTGTGTGTGCGTGTGTGTGCGTGTGTGTGTGTGTGTGTGTGTGTGTTTGTGTGTGTGAGCTGCAGGCTCTCCTCCTTTATCAGTTTAACGCCTTGCTACTGTCTCCTCCTAGTGGAGAGAATGTATATGGCAGGCGCCATACATAACACTCATCAACGCACACATATACAGTACATGCACACATTTATACTAAGTCAGACTCACACTGCTACACACACACACACACACACACACACACACACACACACAGATGCAAGCACAAACAAACTCCATTTGTGGTCTGCGATAATGTTTGGATTGGTTAATTAAGGGATGTTTGAACATTTTGAAGTCACATCCGTTTCGAGTGATTTCAGTGTTATTCAGATTTTACACTACTGTTACTAGATGCTTGCGTCACATGTACCTCGGGAACGAACAGAAGTAATCCTTGTCGGTCATCGTTTGCGTAATGCAAATTGAAACTTCCGTGCAATGCTAATAATGAAGCATTCTGTGGGCTGCTGTGGTGCTAATGCTCCAGAATGCAAACACAAAAATGTCCATGCATTAAAGCAAACTGCTCTGCACTGTTATCCTCCTGGCAACAATATCACACTATCTTATATCTATAAATTGGATTATAAAGATGTCAACCTTTTGAAGGGTTAATGCAGCCGGCCACATTATTAACCAGGCATTGCTGAACAAGACGACATAGCAACATGGCACTACAGTAAGATACTTTTCCTCGAGCCTGATCCAGAGTATTTCATATGTTTGTTGCAATGTTTTCGTTTGGGTCTTCCTGTTTTTGTAACAAGAGGTGGCGTTGAGGCATTTGATTACTGTGGCCACGTCAGGCATGCAATACTACAAACTACAAAGTCACATCCAGCTCAACAGATTCTTGAGACACCCGTCCCATACGCAACACGCTATTAAGTCAAATTACTCAAACACATTTATTGGATTTCAGACAAGTAAAGCAATGAACAGATCTGTTGTTCAATCAGTGACATCACATGCTCTAATGTTGTGAGGACCTCCTGCGGTTGTCTCCAGTTTCTGTTTGCATGCTGCGATGGGACGCATGCATTTTTGTTGGACATTGATACTCAGTAACGTTCACATTGTACTGACGAATTCTGGTTACATGTTACGCCTCTGAAACTCAAAATGACAAACCCTCTGCGCTGTGATGGTTGACAAATGTGAAACATGTTTAGTCCCATAATCACACAACAAAATGTCATACAGTAACGTTGTCCTTCACAATAGGACGTTATTGGTTTGGTCGCCCACTGCAAACTCTGAAGTTCTACTGAAGGCAGTTCCTTGATTTCTGACATTCGTCCCTCCAAACCCAGTTGCGTAAATCTCTTTTTGCACAAATTCAAGCACTTTCCTGATGTCCGTAGATCCCAAAACTTTTTACTGTTTTTTGAAGTGGCCTGACTGTTGTCCTTTGTTCATCAGACACTGCCACCTCTGTTCATGGGAAACCAGGGGGCACAGGCCAGATGGGTTCCTCTTAAAGATTCAGTTACTGTAGAGCTAAAGCATTTTGGTGCCAGCATCACTGTCTGACTCAGTTTCCTAGTTGCCTTTTTCAGCATCTGTCCTCGTGACGTCACAATCCCGTTTGTACGTTGTGCGAGACGAACGTCAAGTACCCACTGCTCGCTTGATTGCCTGCAGTTTCTACTACTACTGCCCCCAAATTAAACAAATTATAGTTATTTTTAAATGGTGTTGAAGTTATTACCATTATTGTTTTTTCAGTTAGGCGTATCAACAAGTTGATATGTGGCTGATGTTCTGTTTGAGTCTTCCGTATTGTAATTTCAAACGTAAGGCTGTTTTAGTTGTACTAATGTCAACATGACTACTAGAATACTTAAATTTGTGATTATTTCCCCTCCTAATAAGCCATGACGAGGAGTTTCCTTCGAGGTAGTGTGACTCTTGTCGCTCTACTCGAGTTGAATTGAATCTATTCTTTGGCATTTAAGTCTAGAAAAGCACAATGTAGTATGCAATTCACTGCCTTGCCCAGTTGAGGGCGCTCTTGTTTTGTTTTTCTTTTAAACTCAGTGGAGCTTACCAACCTAAACTCAAACTACGAACAAAAAATAACCAAAATATTAGAGAATCATTTTCAGTAGTGCTAATTTAACACTATGTTAGACTATTTTCTATGTTGCTAAAGCTGGTCAAGGAAGAAGGGAGTTTATTTGCTGTGTATTTAAAGTAACACTAGAGTTTTAATGACAATAAAACACTTAAATGATGCTATTTCCCAAAAACAACATGTGCATTTGCTGTGTTTATGTGTGTTGACATGTGTCCATGCACTAATGTTTTAATCCAGACGAGACCCTGACTGTGGGAAGGTGATGCCTGTTTTAAAAAATGCGTACGTGTGCATACTCTGTCCCTCCCTCCAAAGTAATAATCAGCTATCAAACCTTTTTTGTTTGGTTTTTTTTTGCAATGAAACGGATGCCTCAGAAACATGTAAGACACCAGACTTTACAGGCTACAAACACTTTTTTGTATTTAAGAAAAAAAACAAACAATGAGAGGTTGTATAAATATGTTCCGAGTTATTTTTGTAAGCCCAAAGTTTTACAGTGTTTTTAAAAGGGTAAGAATGTATATTGTTGGAAACTGAAGGTGTGGATGATAAGCTTGGAAGAGCCTGGATTTGGTGTTTGCCAGAAAGTGACATTTTGGCCGTCGAAGGTGACTCCCAGACGAGCCTCTCGATCCTCGAGGCTCTCTCATTGCAAACTAATTTCCTCAATGCTGACCTAACGAGACACCATTTGAGAATATATATTTATAGTGAGATTTTTTTAATAGGTTTCCTTGTGGAATGTTTAGTTGCGACATTTTAGGATGTTCTTTCTCACATGGCTAATTGTCTAGCAGTCTGGCTTTTATTTGTTTGTTGCTTTTATTTTTATTTGTACATTTTGTTTACTTTATTTTTTGTTTTCTACAGCCACCGATCCGTGCTATGCTAAAGACATGACAGCAGCGTTCTCACTGACCCAGCTCGTTTCCTCCGAACCAGAAGAGAAATGGCTCAGAATTAGTTTTGCGACACAGCTGACCCGATATATTTTTATATATTGTAAAACACTGTATTTTCTGTGTGAACAGAATATTCATCATCAGTGACATTAACATGGAATACTTCGAGTTGCATGGGACTGGAACTGTTGCATGTAAATGGCAATCCATTTTACCAAATTTGTGCATTATTTTAACTTGATTTCAGTTGTCCTGGTATTTTGATCTGTTTTTTATTTTGTATTGTTTTAATGTTTTTCTTTTTTTTTCATGAGAGGAGAGCCCTATGGCTGTGTGACAGTGCAATCTGGATAGAAAGAACATCAGATTTTATGTTAGGTTATTATTATTATAATTATTATTTTTTTTTGCACCGTTTGAATAAATTCTCATTGTATTTCAAGAAAGCTGAGCCTCCTCTGTTCTCTTTGATTAATATTGAAAAGAAAATGTGTTAACTGCAGATTGCTGGATCCTTATAGCTACAACCATAATGATACTGATACGCAATTTATTCCATAAACATAGAAGGTCCATGCACGTACACGACATAACGGTCGTTTTTCACATTTTTATTTAGTCCATACATTAAGTCGCAGCATTTGACTGTAACAGCTTGGAATCTGAGTTGAGGCAATTTGCCAGATGACAGAAAATGATTTCACAATTTTCAATCAACAATGTCAAACACTTACAGCCTCCAGCTTCTCGTTCGTGAATATTTGCTGTATTTCATTGTTTTATTTGATAATGAGCTGAATTTCTTTGGGTTTTGGACTCTTTGTCAGACAATAAAAGTTATTTTAGTCACTTTTATCAGACAGACACTTTATAGACCAGCTGAAAATAAATGACAGACTATACAAAAATTAAAAGAAAGGTCAGTGGCTATGAAAGTCAATTTCTGCCCATGATGAAGAACGTAGAACAGATCCTGTTCGTTATTATGATAAGAAACTTTCTCAAAATAATGACGAAGTTTCTCAAAATGACTTTATATCTCAAAATAATGACTTTATATCTCAAAATCGTGAGTTAGTATCTCAAAATAGTGACTTTATAAATTGAAATCGTGACTTTATATCTCAAAATCGTGAGTTAGTATCTCAAAATAGTGACTTTATATCTCAAAATAGTGAGTTAGTATCTGAAAATAGTGACTTTATAAATTGAAATAGTGACTTTATATCTCAAAATAGTGACTTTATATCTCAAAATATTGTTAGTATCTCAAAATAGTGAGTTAGTATCTCAAAGAAAGTGACATTAGATCTCAAAATAGTGAGTTAGTATCTCAAAATATTGTTAGTATCTCAAAATAGTGAGTTAGTATCTCAAAATAGTGAGTTAGTATCTCAAAGAAAGTGACATTAGATCTCAAAATAGTGAGTTAGTATCTCAAAGAAAGTGACATTAGATCTCAAAATAGTGAGTTAGTATCTCAAAATA